CTCGCAGCCGTAGACAGGGCCGTCATACACCTAAGCCCATTAAGACTGTAACCTCCACTAGGAAGCAAAGAAACCCACCCCTGACAGACCGTACCATTACACTGAAGTTCCACGGATATGGGATGATCTCCCGTCTGTACTGCACTCCAACGTCACTTTTTTAGCTAACAAGTTTGACGAACTGGCAACCACCGTGAGGTCAGCCGCCGCTAGCGCCGTTGCCATATGTGAGGCTTGGCAAATTGTGCCTGAAACGTGTCATATTGAGGGATATCAACTCTTTCATCACCTTCGTTCACATAGTCGCGTAGGGGGCGTTGCCCTCTTCTGTCAAGATGACCTACACCCACCACGCCTGGATGTTCAATTCCCAGCAGATGTGGAAGCATTATGCATACGTGTTGTGCTACGGGCCCAACCGTTCCACACTGCTTCCATCATAATTTGTGTCATACCACCCGCCTCGCTCACCCACCAGAGACACTCTTATCAATCATCTCAATACCACCTCAGAGTTAGGTACCCATGTGCCAAGTTAGTATTATGCTGGGATTATAAAGAAATTGACACCACTGATATCCAGGACCAGCTGTCACTATCACAAGTTGTGAACTTCCCCACACACGGTCAAAATACCCTTGACCTTATCTTAACCGACTTAGCGGACCAGTACCAACCACCTCAACCAATGCCTCCTATCGGGTGTAGCACACACCTATCAGTGCTCTGGTCCCACTCCCACTCAAGTACAGAGACCCGACATCAGGACCTAAAGGCCAATTACTGACCCTGCAGTGTCCCTCTTCGGGCAGTGGATAGTTCACCATCCTTGGACTGAAGTACTTAGCGTGGATGACGTAGAAACCAAATGGATAAATTATACCAACACCACAACGGAAGCTCACCACCACTTCTTCCCCGAGAAGTCCGTCAGATCTCACCCAGCTGATTTGTCCTGGATCACACCTCGGATCAAAAGACTTATGCAACAGAGAGACAGAGCATTTTTTCTCAATGACCACAACTGCTACAGGTCCCTTCGCAACCGAGTCATCCGCGAAATGCGCACGGCAAAGAAGTCTCACTACCCAACCAAATTGCAACACCTGAAGCAGACCAACATCAGTTAATGGTATGGTAAGCTTAAAGAACTCTGCGGACTAAACAATAAGACACACCCTCTCCCCTTCCTTAGCCATCTCACTAATGTTGACGCAGCTGTGCAATTAAATAACCATTTCGCTACTATATGCAAGACGCTTCCCCTGCTTGACACAATCCATCTCCCTGCTAACCTACCAGCCCCCTTTCCCACTAACTGAGTAGAAGAATTTGAAGTAGCAAAATGTGTTTACAAACTAAAGTTAAAATGCTCCACCAACCCCAATGACTTACCAATGAAACTCTGCAAGGAGGTCTCCCCTGAGCTTGCTAAGCCCCTCTGCTCCATCATCAATGCTTCTCTAAGTCAAGCCAGATGCCCAGCTGACTGGAAGACTTCTTATATATCGCCAGTGCCAAAGTCAACCAGCACACAATCCTTAAATCAGCTACGACCTATTGCAATCACCCCAATACCCAGCTTAATCTGTGAAAGTTTGTGTTCGACTGGGCTCATGCTGATATTGCAGGAGCCGTAGGCCCTCAGCAATTTGGTAATATGAAAACTTCCTCCACCACTCACTGTCTTGTCAGCTTTCTCGACTACATATACCGTCATCTGGTGAAACGAAAAACGTCTGTAGCTGTCGCCTTCATTGACTTCACTAAAGCATTCGACCGAATCGACCACAATTTAATCATCAACAAAGCTATCGACCTCGGATTTCGAAGAAGCCTTATACCATGGCTTACAGACTTCCTCAGTGACCGACGCCAAGCTGTACGCTTCCGAGGGGCTGTCTCCACCTTTCAGTCACTCACCTGTGGCGTCCCCCAAGGCACCAAGATGGGACCACTATGCCTCCTTATGATTATCAATGATGCCCTAAGAGAAACCCCTGCTCGCTGGAAATATGTCGGCGACTCCACCATTGGGTATAGCGTCAACAATTCTGCTCCCGACTATACCACCCTTCAGGATGTATTGAACAGTCTCCAAAATTGGGCCACCAACAACCACGTCACCATCAACCATACCAAGACCATGGTTATGCACATCAACCTTTCCTCCGACGTTGTCCCACCTCCTTCCATTACTTTAGGTCCCAACACACTCCAGGTTGTAGATTCCACTAAGCTCCTCGGCGTCACCATAGACAACAAACTAAATTGAAAACCACACGTTAGTGAAGTTGCCAAATCCTCCAGTTTCCGTCTCCACCTCCTCCGCCGACTCAAGTCCCACGGGGTTCCTGCACCCGAGCTCTTCAGTGTTTACTCAACATTCATACCTCCCAAGCTCACCTATGCCTCCCCTACCTGGTCTTCCTCCCTAAATGCCACACAGCGTAAACACCTAGAAAAAGTGCAAAAGAGGGCATGCAAGAAAATTCTCTCCCCTTCCTACTCCACATATCAAGAAGCGCTTAACACACTGACCCTCTCAGCTCTCCCTGACCATCACCACTACCTCATCTGCCAATTTGGTGAGAAGCTTCTGCACCATCTTCGACACCGGCTCCTACTACCACCTGAGATCCCTCGCCCGAGAATTGCTGTCCGACACCACAACCGCATCCATCCCATAAGAGCACGAACTGATCGCTATAAGAACAGCCCAGTCCCAACCATTGTAAAAATTATCTATAACTTGTAATAAACCAGTGTATTCACTCCCAGTAAATCCTACTTTTTGCACTGTCATTAAGTTGAAATGCCCTCTAGTTTGAGCTTCTCCCATCTATTTATTATATATCATATTTGTATCACTTATGCTACTTGTATATTATTTGTAAATCAAGAAACCTATTCCCCAATTATGTAACTGTATATTTTCAGCCTGATGGCTGCTATGTTCTTTCAATAAACCGTTAATTATTATAATTATTATTATTATTATTATTATTATTATTATTATTAATATTATTATTATTATTATTATTATTATTATTTTTATCACACTGTCCCTGGGAGACACACCAGGATAATGAGTCTCTCACAACACTCCCTGGGAGACATATCAGGATAATGAGTTTCTCACAACACTGTCCCTGGGAGACAAATCAGGATCATGCGTCTCTATCAACACTCCCTGGGAGACACACCAGGATAATGAGTTTCTCACAACACTGTCCCTGGGAGACAAATCAGGATCATGCGTCTCTAACAACACTGTCCCTGGGAGACACACCAGGATCATGAGTCTCTCACAGCACTCTCCCTGGGAGACACATCAGGATAATGAGTCTCTCACAACACTCCCTGGGAGACACACCAGGATAATGAGTTTCTCACAATACTGTCCCTGGGAGACACATCAGGATAATGAGTCTCTCACAACACTCCCTGGGAGACACACCAGGATAATGAGTTTCTCACAATACTGTCCCTGGGAGACACACCAAGATCATGCGTCTTTCACTACACTGTCCCTGGGAGACACATCAGGATCATGCGTCTCTCACAAAACTGTCCCTGAGAGACACACCAGAATCATCAGTTTCTCACTACACTGTCCATGGGAGACACAAAGAGATCATGAGTTTCTCACTACACTGTCCATGGGAGACACACCGAGATAATGCGTCTTTCACTACACTGTCCCTGTGAGACACACCAAGATCATGAGTTTCTCACCACACTGTCCATGGGAGACACACCAGGATCATGAGTTTCTCACCACACTGTCCCTAGGAGACACACCAGGAACATGCGTCCCTCACAACATTGTCCCTGGGAGACACACCAGGGTCACGTGTCTCATAACACTGTCCCTGGGAGACACACCAAGATCATGAGTCTCTCACTACACTATCCCTGGGAGACACACCAGGGTCATGCGTCTCTCACAACACTGTCCCTGGGAGACACACCAGGGTCATGTGTCTCTCATAACACTGTCCCTAAAGTTATAGTCTGACACTTGTCATCGCCCAGAAAAGTATTGTGTGTCCTCTCACGTGGTTCATAAAGAAAGGCATAGAAAGTATTCACTACAAAATTGTGAACATATTTAGTCTTTACTCTTGGAATATAATTCCTTTTACTAGGGCCCGTACAATGTGCATTTGCATATGTAGTTAAAGGGAATATGCATATACTGTATAGTTTTGGTTTTATAAAGCATTTTTTTTTAATTCTTAGACATTATAATATATCATTAATTATTTTCTGATATCTTAAAGTCATAATGTCCGAAAGTAGTTAGAAACGATATATGTACTGTATGTTGGGACTTGGTCACAATTTCTGTGGTGCCATATGGCAGCAGGTCTATCATTAGACAATACTTCCAATATCTTCCCAGGCGGTAGTACTTCCCTGTTTAACAGCTGCCTACCAATTGACCAACCATGATTGGTTGGCCAATTGGACAAGAACTGTACGTGATGGGTTTGTGTTCAGCCAAACGACGCCAGTGTATAACAGATGCACAGGCTCCACCGGTTCCCTTTTTGGTTCCTTACACAGAGGTACAGTTGTGAATTATCCCCCCACTGAAATGATCACTTAGTTTTCCTTAGAATGTTATATTTTGACTGAATAATATGATCTAATCACAGTGATTTGTTTGTTAACGAGCGTGTATAGGTAACTGCCTATACTGTAGCATACACAGTGAAATAAGTTACTACTATTTTAGCGTATTTTTTTTTTTAATCCTTTATTGAGAAATCCTACTTACAGCGACATCCTGTGTGGGACAATAGATTTACTGAGAAAATACACGGAAAAGTAAGTTATTAACTTATTTTAAAATGGATATTTAAGTTCATATATCCTCTCATCTTGCTGCATATTTGCATGCACATTTAGCCATTTTTAAGTGCATTTACATACAGTATAAGTATGCTCACTTCACCAACAAGATTTACAAGAAGCAAAACTGTAAGACTCAC